AGGAGGAAGCTATGCAAGGAGTACTGCCCAAGCAGGAAATTGTTGCATAATGCTTTATATTACCCCTTCAGTGAAAAGGAATGCAAAAAACTACCTTTTGTTATTGAAAAGACAAAGAAAAGTAGATAAGAAAATGCTTTAATGTCCTCTTTCTCTGGTCTTCAGGAAGTAGAGGATTAGGTCCATTGAATCTGCAGAGAATTTTGACACTTACTGCGCTGCAGTAAAAATATAAAATTGACTGAATTTGTTCTTGGACAATACATACATGATTTGGTATAACAAATAGTGATGAGAATGCTTGTAAAATAGATCCTGTACATCTGTGCATCACTCTGGCATATAATGGAGACACAGTGCAGTTCTGTCCAGACTTCAGCTGTATCAAAGTTAAAATGTTTAGAATTTATTTTGAGGAAGGGATATAGTAAATGATAGACCCAGGAAGAATAGAGGCCATAATTAAGTTCACATGTCTGGTTACAAAAAAAAGCAGATATGAAGATTTTTTCAGAATGGTGGGATTTCATTGGCCGTGGTTTCCTGGGTTAGGGGAATTGACTGAGCCTCTGACAGAGGCAACCAATAATGAAAACACAGAACTTGTTGCATGGGGCGCAGAGAGGGAACAAGCTTTTAAAGCAATAAAATCGTGTTTGCTCTTTCTCTTGGGCTCCCAAATTACACAAATCCCTTCAATCCTGATGTACATGAAGTAAAGATAGTGGAGTGATAATGCAGAAATTGTGACTGCACCACAAACCACTCGCATATTATTCCACTCAACTTGATTCAGTTCCATTGGGAAGACCAGCCTGTAGTAAATCACTGGCAGCAGTAGCAGCAACAATATTGGAGAACTGCCTCTTTATCCTGGGACATCCCATAACAGTCCATGTTCCACGTGCAGTGGAAGTACTGTAGAGACAGCATGCAATCCAATCTCTGTTATCACAGTGGGTAATGTACATAGGTATGAACTGATCCTCCTAATGGCAGGTTACATCATCTTAAAAGGATGTGACAGCTTGAACTCAGCAAGTCCGATGATTTGAAGCTCCACTTTGAATACTGTGTTCAGTTTTGGGCCCCTTACTACACAAAAGACATTGAGGTGCTGGAGCGTGTTCAGAGTTGGTGAAGGGTTGAGAGAATTAAGTTTATGAGGAGTGGTTGAGGGACCTGGGGCTGTTTGGCTTGGAGAAAAGGAGACTCAGAGTGATCTCCTTGCTCTCTACAACACCCTGAAAGGAGGTTGTACTGAGTCGGGAGTTGGCCTGTTTTCCCAGGGAACAAGGAAAGGCCGTTTTCCCAAGGACAAGAGGAAACGGCCTCAAGTTGCACCAGAGTAGGTTTAGATTGGATATTAGGAAAAAGCTTCTTCACTGAAAGGGTGGAGATGTGGTGGAATCAAGTGGGGGAATCACCATCCCTGGAAATATTCAGAAAACAAATGGATGAGGCACTTGTTTACATGGCTTACAAGGTTAGTGGTGAACATGGTGGTGCTCTGTTAATGGTTTACTTTGGTGATCTTAGAGGTTTTTTCCAACCTTAACAATTCTATTATTCTCTGATGGAGAATATCACCTGTATGATGCACATTTCAAGTAAACCACAGACTGATTTAACTGATGCTTTCTTATATTACCCAAATCTAGTACTTTTTGCAGATGTTTTGTCATCCTACCTGCAAAGACAGCCTGCAAGGACACTGTGGTGGGCCAGGTAAAAGCAATAGAAGCAGAACCACTCTTAGCAAGGATAAGTGCACAGGGACCAGGGTTAGTAGCCTTGGCACATGCAGCATCCCAGGGAAGAGGAGAAGTGAACTAACATCTCTGTGGACTCTGGGGTGTGTCAGGCAGCAGGTATGTTATGGAAAGAATGGGGATTCTTCACATCAGCAGGGCAGAGTATCTGTTCCTTAGAGAATAAATATTCAATTTGTTAGAATTAGTAGTTACCTGTCATGCTGGATGGTTAGACAGGAAAGCTTCCTTAACAAAAATGAGGCACTGTGTGTCCTCTGTGACCTCTTGATTGCTTTTGCAAACAACCGCTGGAGGCAGTGCTTTGCTGCTGGCACTGAATTTCACAAAATGCATGTTATAAGAGCTTTCCTTTTCAAGATAGCTACAGGCCAGCTTGGTGAAAGCATTGGAAATGTTTGATTAAAACTTCAGTGCAAAAGCTCCAAATTCATCCTTTAGTGAGGGAAAGAAGGCAGCACTTTCTAAGAGAATACCAAGGAGCAGTGGTAAATCTCACCAGGAAATGACCAGTAGAGGAGTGTAGGAGTACTGAGGTTCCAGGAGGCTGTCAGTCTGCCCTGTTGGAGCTCATTTTCCTTGTTGCTGTCAGTCATTGTTGCTGTCAGAATGTTACACAGTCATATTTACCACAACTCAGCATAGCGGATGTCCCTGCAGCAGTTCCCTAGCTCAAGAACAGTTGCTACTTGTTCTGTTTAATTACAGGAGTAAGTAATTCCAGATTTATAATTTGTTTACCAAAAAGTGATTTTCAGGGATCACATTGTGATCAGTTCTGGACAAAACCATGGGGTAGTTGCTGTGGGATTTGGCTGAAATGTCCAGAGCAGCATCTGATCACTGTGGATTGATCCTGTCCTGTAGATATCTGCAGAGATTAGTGTGAGACGCTCTGCTGCCCTGTACTGGCACTGAACACTCAGCACTGATGCAAATCTGGGTGATGGAGGGATTGGTTAAATAACAGATCTAAAGAGGATCATCAGGGACAGCCAAGCTGCTTAAAAATTGTGTGCTCTTGTGCTGCAAGTACATTCAGACTCTAAAACATGCATGTTAATCCCTGTGGGAAGGGCTGTGGTATTTTAGAAAGCACTGTTTTGAGAAGGGATGGAGCTGCAAGGGTGCAAGCTATACCTTTAAGTACCTTATGTCTGAGTACTGCAGGGAGGAAGAGTAGAGGATGGAAAGGGGGAACCACCTTCTAGCACGTGGTATGGGAAGGGCCAAGGACAGACTACAGTGTTTCTCACTGTGTTAAACAGATCTTGAAAGCAGGAGAGAGATAGAAAGAGAAGAGTGCCATATCAGAGATGAAAGGGCTGCCCAAGTGGGCATAGCTGACCAGTAGACATTCATTCTTCCCCTGGAAATATACCAGGTACTGTCTCAGAGAGGAGCATGAAGAGATAATGAGTGAATTAGTTTTGGATAAGGAGTTTGTTTCTACAGTGAGAGCAACTGCCAGGTAGAATTATAACCTTTCTGCATCCTCCAATTAAGACTGAATATCCCTATGTAAGTTTTAATGTTTAAGGGATAACTTTTTCATGCAGATAACTATTGTGGCTAAATTAGTGCTGCAGGGAAAATTTGAATAGATGTACTGTCCTTGTCTTATATGTTCAAGCCTCATTTCTCTCTGTGGCTTGTCTAACAACGGTCACAATTAGCACTGGTTGGTGGTGGTTGTTATCTAAGTTTAGCCTCTTTGGAAGCTTTCCTTTAGTACATTTGATGGAGTTGCTGAACCCATGTTTCTGGTGAGAACTCAGTCCCCCCTGCCTGTGAGGTGCCTCTTTGTCTTTGGCCGTGCTCCCTGCAGCTCACCCCTAATCATGACTAGGTATTTCTGGGGAGGAAGAAACCTGCCTTGGGTAATAAGGTTTCTCCCTTCCTACAAACAGAGGCTCAGAGGGGAAGGGTGGGCAGAGATGGGACCACTTATTGTAGTGCTGGGGTGCACAGAGCACGAGAGCTTAGGGTCTGTGCTCTGGGTTTTGGCTGAAAGAATGCAGCCATCTGGCAAACAACTGTGCAGAACTTCCCTGCACACCCAGCTTCCTGACTTGTGGTCTCCACCGGCAGGGACCAGAACATGAAGAGCAGAGCAGCAGGGTTGCAGTCACAGTCCAGGAAGCCTTCTGCACAAGCTAAAATTATTTTATAAGGGAGGACAGGGATATGGTAGGAGGTGAGTGCTTGATAAGCCCTAAGTCCTGCAATTTACTGTCATTCCATCTCTGGGATTGTTCCACACTTCTTCTGTACATTAGCATAGCAAGAGCAGGATTTTTCCTTTAAAAATAAATAAAGCAGGCCTTTGGAGAGCACAGTGTGTCAGACAGAAAGGTATTTAGTATTAGCCAAATCTGTTCTCCAGGCAGGGTGGCCTGACTCTCAGGTCTAGTATGCTGATATCCGCAGAAGTCCTGGGAACCAGAGTCTGCAACAATGCAACCATGGAGCACAGAGGGTAACTTGGAAAACATCAGCGTGCTCTTACTACTGGTAAAGGAGTGCCATGTCTGGCTTTGCTCCCTGACACAGAGTCCCTTGCAAGTAGTCTCCATGGGAGTCCTGCTGCAGGCTCCTAGGCAGGAGATTGGAGTGGCTGGCTGTCTCACTGGCACTATTCCTTCAAACAGCAAAAGTAGCTCTTCTCACTTAGCCTCAGGATCCTTCCTAGCTTTTTCCTGGAAGTGCCACTTACCATGCTGAGTCCCCAGGATTTGAGCTTGTCAGGGTGGCTGAAGCTGTATGAAGCCTCCTGTGGGGCTGCTTCTCAAGTCAGCTCTGTGTGGTACCGTGCAAGAGAAAAGCTGAGTTGTGATGTCTGCACGGGAACATTTGCCTTAACTAAGTCCAGGATAAGAATGGATTTAAGTGCTTTGGTTTATAAATAAACAGTGCTGTGGCCAAGGTAGATTTAAGCAGAGCTGGCAATGGCCCTGCTTGGGAAGGGATCTCTTTACCACATGGCCTGCTGCTGGACTTCCTGTTGCATGCTAATCCCTTAAGCCTGCTTCAGCTCTGTTAATTTTCCTTCTTTCTGTTTTTCCCCAATGGGCTGTCTCCGTGCCGCGTGAATGCCAGCGTTCCTAGGCCAAGCTTGTGCCTGCGACTGGGCCAAGCATCCAGGCTGCCTTCCGAGCACCGGGTACCATGTGGCAGGACCCTAGGGATGGTGGTGCCTGAATGTATCCCATTCTCTCTGTCTTACAGGCTCTGCAGTCTGCGCCTGAAGAAACTCACGGTGCTGAAAGAGCTGGACAAAGAGCTGAGCTCTGTGCTTATCGCTGTGAAGATTCAGGTAGGCTCCTCTCGTTGCTGCTGCCTGATGGCAGCAAGCCAAGCCCATCCTTGTGCCCTCTGTGAAGTGTTGCTCTGCATGTCCCTTGCCTAGTGCCAACCAACCCCTCTGTTTCAGCACACTCAGGGAGATTTTGGCTCTCAGGTGGGAATAATGCCCCAGGGACAGCAGTGAGATACCTGGTGCTGGCTTGTATCAGGAATGAATTTGGGTAGACAGAATTTGGATTTGGTGGGACAGAATCTGTCATGCCTCCCTGCCTGCCTCTGCCAAGGCCCTCCTCTCAAACTACTGTTTGGAGTTTGTCATCCCACTGTTCCACACCCTTTAAGAGAGGGTCAGTGCTGGATGGTTTCCAGCAGTGTCTTCCACCCAGATCACTCCCTGGGGAGTGAAGGGTGGGAAGGGAAAGGTGCAAGGGATCAATGTCTCTGTGCATAACATTCTGCTGACATTTGTACCCTGTCTGATCTCACAGTTGCCTCTAATATCCCTTCCCTTTCCCTCTGCATTCCTTCTAGGCCTGGTGCCTCTACTGTGAATCAGGCAGAAGGGAGGGGAGAGGATCTTTGTCACCAAGGGTTCTGGAATTTGCCACCATCCTGATATGTGCAATCCCTCCACCCTCTCTGCAGCTGGTGGTGGAGAGATGGGAGTGCAGGCACATCCTTTCCACCTGCCAAAGGAAGCATGGAAACAAAATGTGTCTTGAGTATGTTGTCCTGGCCACAGCTTCCCTGACCCAGCTAGGGCACTGGTGTCCTTCCTTCGTTCTTGTCAGCTGGCACGAAAGCAGCTGATCCCGTTGAAAGCACCGTGGGTCAGCAGCTCAGCAGCTTTGTGCTCCCACAGAGCTCTTTGTGCCACACACATTAGGATCTAAATCCTGGATTAATGCTGGAAGCTGCAGTATTAGCGGAGCTCTGGGAGCTGGAGTTTGCCTTCATGGCAGACCTGATTCACTCGCACAGAAGAAACTGAAAGTGAAGTATATGAAAGCTGGGGCAGGGAGTTAGGACAGTAGGAAGAGGCTGTGGTCCATGCACTATTGGTCAGTGTCCCACTTTGGTGGCCTTTCCGTCACTGTGTGTATGGTGTCATTCAGGAGAGCTGAAAGTCCGGGAACCCCTGAGACCTGTGCCCTTTTGGTTTCCTGAGACCTGTTTCCCTTGCTTTAGCAAGGAAACAACCTGAACAGCAGAGAGCTGCCTGGCTGGCCCTTGGAAATGTGGAAGCAATCAAGGCTGGGCCACACCTGACAGCAGCACAGGACTGGGGGGCTGCTACCTGACTGGGAGGGCTGGGGTGCTCCCTGAGTTCTCTCCTGCACAGTCAGGCCAAGCCGAATGTGCTTCTCTGCACTGGGAACCCTTGGGTTCCTGTGCAGCTCCACTTATGCTGGGGCTGACACGTGCTGAGTGTGCATGTCCTCAGCTACAGCCCTCACATGCTGCAAATGTGGGACTGTGGAAGTGACTGCACAGTGGGACTCCAGCTCTTTCAAACAGACCACCCCCATCCCTGCCAGAGGCCAATCTTGAACCCTGATGGCAAAAGAAATTAATAGGCCTTAGCAGTTTAAAGCCATAGGGCCTCCTTGCTGCAGGCTCCCTTTTCCTGTCAGGGAATGGAGGCTGCATTCAGGGATTTAATTTAAACATTGTCACCTATGGCCACATAGCTGTGGCTGCATGCTGGTGTAGGCTCACTGCAAAGCTAAAGAAAACAAGGAGAATGCTTTTTCCCACATTACTCCATGGCTCAGCATTCCTTGTGGAAGTGGGCTGAGTTTGTGTTCCTCCCCAGGCTGCTTCCACCTGCCTGACCAGCCTTCTTGGCAGGGTTTGGGACTGCTGGAAGGCAGATGGAAGCTGTAGGCAGCTTCAGCACAGCGTGCCTACAGAGTGGCCTCAGATGGATCCATTCCTCCTGCTCCTCTCCTAGGTAACAGATGAGTCACACTAGTAAGAAACTGTTTGAAGGCTTTCCAGTGAACATTCCATCTTTTTGGATGGAAACAGCTGATGCATGTAATTTATAAAGGACCTGCAAATTCCCAAGGGGGCATCTGGGGACTAGAGGAAAGGAGAGCTATATTTCCCTCATTTCAGTAGCAGTTCTGTTAGGGTCAGGAAATTGCTGCTCTGAAGGGCAGGTGGTATGGAGATAAAGCTCTGACCCTGTCTGAATGGGGCTACCACCCCCAGGGAATAGCTCCAGTCCTGGAGACAGTCTGCTTAAAAAATGTGCATGACCTAAAGGACAGTGTAAGCCTGTCCAGAACTCCTGATCTCCTTCTCACAGTGCCCTTCTGGTCTTAAAATACAGCTTCTAAGGGTGCCATGTGCTGCTACCTGCTCCTTCATCTGAAAATGCCACTGTCAAGGGAAACTGTCTACAGAACTTACCCATTTCTCAGAGGTGAATTGAATATATAATGTTTCATGGATTTGAGTAAGATAAAGCCTGAACTACTCTGAAAAAAGGGATTTGCTCTCATTCACTTGAGCAGTTTTTAAACCTTTATCCCTCATTATTTGTTTTAACAGACTGGAGACGTCATAGAGCATTTCCTTCTGTGTGTTGTTCAGCGTGGCACTAAGAGATTTGGATGTGCTGGCTCAGCTCCATAAAGCTGCAGATACCTGCCTTGGTATCGCAACTGATTATGGCATGAAGGGAAACACTGTGTTCCCTCTCGGCAGAGAGACTGTAGTTCACAAACACCCTGTCTTGAGCCATGAATAGAGGAAACAATCAAAGAAAGAAGAAAACAAGCCCCAGCACTCCCAGAACTTTCAGCTCCTGTGGCAGGTGCTGTGGATGCAGATCTTCCTGCATCTGACTGCAGGATACTTCTGGTGACTCAGGTTCAAGCCTTGGTACTGCTGTAGAGGGATGATATTGGCAGTCACTGTGTAGCAAACAAGAGTGTGTGCTATGAAATAGGCCAGGCTAAAAAGGTTGTTTGCCAGGCCTGCTTGCTGCCCCAACCCTGCTTCCTGAAGGAACTTGTTTTGTTTGTTTTTGTTTTGTCTTTCTTATTATGCAGAGTTTTCTGTTTATGCCTCACTCATGCTTGTTTCTTATCTCTTTGTAACCACTTGTAGTATTTTTTCATTCCTACCTGAGCAATCCTAGCTAAACCCTAAATTTGTTAATTATATTAATGGGCTGTTCTCTCCCAAAACGCTCCTTCAGCTTGAATTCTGGTTAGTATTTTGCTATCTGACTAGTCCAGTACTTATATTAGTTCTCTCTCTTCTTGTGGATGTGGTATGCTGTTCTAGTCTCAACCCTCTTATAAACCAGACCAATCAGGACAGATTTAAACTTGAAATTTGGGATTGTACCTTGCAAACCAGACCTGGGCATTATGTACCTGTGTATTGTAGTGAAAGCTTCTGTGTGTTTTCAGTTCTTAGGTAGCAAAAACCTGTGACCACCACTTGTCCCTATTGCTTTTGCCTTCCTTGACACTCTGTCATCCACCATTTTCACTGTAACAGTGTGATATTAAGTTTTTCTGCAGTATTTGTAGGAATACTCAACTGTTCTGCAGAGAAATTGATCTTGACTGACATTACTCAAGTTACAGAACGGCTGAGCTACATCAGGTGCTCACTGCCATGTCTAGTTGAGGTTTGAATTTCTCAGAGGATGGAGAATCCTCAGTATTTCTATGTCCTTGTCCTTGCACTGTAATAATGACATAGCCTTTGTCCCAGTCCTTGCAATGCCGCATGGATGTGCACTGGCATTTCACTGAGGGATTGGATTCACCCAGGATTGAGGCTGGGCCTGTAACTTCCATAGTGGTAAATGACAATAAGGCACAGGACAGCAATGTTTATGAAACCATCACTTCCTGCACACACCACTCAGGATATCCTCACCTTTTCTTTGCCATAAGTCTTTCCCCAGAAATATCATCTTCAGGAAGAGTAATTGTACTTCTACTTGTGTTTTGATGAAAGAATGAATCTTTGGTGGATAATCTCTCTGCAACAAAGAGCAAATGGTAAATGTGCTGAAGTAAATAGGTACTGTCATTGTGACTGCCTATCATCTGTTGTCAAAGAGTTCAGGAAGGGTCAGTGTGTTCTTGGCCAGGAAGGCTCACAGATGGTGAAGGGGATGAGCTCCACCTCTTCTCTTCCATTTTAGGAAGACCTTTTGCAGGAAAGTCTCGCTCCTGGCATGGTCTCTGGGAACAGCATTGCAGACAGCTTTTGGGAGGATCTGTGGGTTGTGTCACCCTGCAGCCAAAAGGGTCTGGTGCATGCAGACAGCATTTTTCTACCCCCACGTCATTCAGTGTCTCTATCAGAAACCAAGACATAGAGATAGGGCAGAGTTAAAGCGAAGAGTTGGAGTGGGAACATAATTAGAGTGCCTTTGTTACTGCCCTTCTGCTAAAAACCATTTCTATATGTAGATAAAGACTGTTGCCTGAGGAAAAGACTGGGAGAGTTTTCTGAGACAAGCTAAGCAAGCAGGGGGACCCCTGTTCTCCTGGATATCCTGACTTGGTCCCAGCAGAGCCATCCTGACAGCTGTACTTAGACAGGGATCTGCACTGGGCCTGTCTGCTTGAGGGAGAGATGTCTCCAGGACCTGTCCCTTTTCTGGCCAGGCAGTGTGTTGGGACCCTTTGCTTTGCCCTGCATGGTTCCCTGTGGTTCCAGGGGTGTACCTCCATAGCATGGGACAGGCACAGCAGGTGCAGAGAGTTAAGCACAGCAAGCTTGTGAAGAGCAGCGATCCTTGGCAGGTGGGCAAGGAGAAGTGACCTCTGGCAGCTCGGGGGATACTGCAGGCTTTTGCAAAGTATTGGTAGGCATGTGAAAGGTGGCTCTACAAGGTGGAACAGAACAGCCAAGGCATTCTCTCTTTCCTTGTGGACTGTGAACACAGTTGTCTTGTGTGTGTGATGCAGTGGAGTCTGTGGTTGAGCTCAGTGTGTGTGTCTGCCAATCTTGTTGTAGGGTTCAAAGCGAGTCCTGAGGTCAAATGAATACGTCCTCCCGCCTGGGGGCCTGATGGAGACTGAGCTGGAGCTGACCTTCTCACTGCAGGTACCTGGTGCTGCCTGGTCCCCGTGGCTCCCTTACCTGGCATTTTTCAACAAGTTCACCCTTAGGGCTAAGTGTGAAAGGCACAGCCTCTATGGAGGGGCCTACTGTGCTTGGTTGTTGTACAGTTGCCTGCTGCTCCATTGCTCCAGGGATTGTTTGCTGGGCATTGGGATTTGGAGGATGATGGATAAGTGCAGGTGACCTTTGGGGGGCACCTCAAGGCTCAGCAGGTCAGATCCTGCTGTACATCAGCATTGAGGAGTTTTCTACCTGTGTGTCATGCTGAGCCTTGCCCTCATGCTGCCATCTTCTGTGTTTCCCTTCCCCAGTACCCACACTTCCTCAAGAGAGATGGCAACAAACTACAGATCATGCTGCAGCGGAGGAAGAGATACAAGAACCGCACCATCCTGGGCTACAAGACCCTGGCAGTAGGAATCATTAACATGGCTGAGGTACAGAGTGCTGGGAACAGAGGGGAGCCCCACATTGCCTTCCTGTGCCAGCACTGGGCAGGGAACAGGGCTGGCAGGCAGAATCTCATTGCTGTGAGTGTTCTGGCTTGTTGGCTGGCTATAATAGAGAGGGTATGATCACCTGCCATTGTATCACCCTATCAGGGAGCTTGTCTGTCTGTCTGTCTAGGTAATGCAGCACCCGACAGATGGTGGTCAACTCCTGGGCCTCCACAGCAACATGAAAGATGTGAATATTCGAGTGGCTGAAATCAGCATCTACTCTCTGTCCAGTCAGCCCATCGACCATGAGGATGGGAACGTCCCCTCAGGTCCTAAAATCAAAGCATCAGGTGTGTTTAATGCTCAGACCTGCAGGCAAACGTTTGGGACATGGGGAACAGAGTATGTCCCTCAGCACTGCCAGTAATTCCAGTCCTTTCACTGGAGCCATGACAGGCATCATGCTGAGCTGGGGCATTTGCACTTTCTACTTTCAGATCGCTCCCCAGACATTGATAACGACTCTGAAGATGATGATGACAGCTTCTCCTCAGAGCAGGAAGCCAGTGATGATGCTGTGCAGGGTCAGGTAAGGGAGGCCTGGCAAGATGCCTTGTGTCCTGGTCCTGTTTCTGGGGCAAGACTCAGGCATTGAGGTTCTTGATCACTCTGAGCCCTCTCATCCCCTTGTAAACATTTGGCATTGTTTCAGAGGGCTAAAAGCCATAATACCTGACAGGAAAAAGAACTCTGACAGCAGTGGGCTGCTGTCAAGTCCATGGTGAGGCAAGGGACTTTGGAGAGCCATAGATCTCTTCCATCTGTCTCTGGAGCTGTCTGATCTGCAGCAGAAAACCCCTGCTGAACCCTCTCCATATTGCACCACGATTTTCTCCCTGTGGTAACAGGTCGAAGATTGCTCACTGTCTGAGGGAAAACAGGGATTTTAGCAAGAAGTAGGTCTGAAAATGGTCAGAGGTTGCAGACTCATCCCAGCCCTGAGATGAGCTGTGTCACTGCTGTTTGCTGTGCTCTTGTGGTGTCTGTACTTGAGGCCACGGAAAGCCTTGTGGTAGTGTGCTGATAAAGAACAAACTGCTCAGGGTTATTACAATCTGAGGATAACTGAGGTTCTTGGGGCAGATTAGAGTGAAGCAACACTGGATGACCAGTGTTTACAAATATATATCTATATGGCAAGTTTATTTCAGAACAACCTGGTTGCAATGGAAAGGAGGTATGTAGCCATTTTGGTTATTATTACCTATAGTAATACAACAGTATAAAAATATAGAGTAGATAGTGGAAAGATATCACCACCTGTGGATTCAGACTTGATAGTTAAAAGTCAAAGTGCTAGTTAGTCAAAGTGATGGTCACAGTCTAGATGGAGGAAGTCCCTGAAACAGAGAGTTCAATGGTTAATACACATTCAGGTTTAGGTGGGAATGCCAGGTACCTTCCCTGGAGAGGGGACTTTTACACTGTCTGATGTAACACTGTGGATCTGGTGCAATACTGTGGATTAGGTGCAGTCCTCAGGTGAAAGGCCTAAGAAATCAGTCTGAGAGGAGGGCTTGGGAGGTGTCTTTGTTAGTTTGGCACCTTCTAAGACATGAGAGTTCTCACTTCAATGTAGTTGAGCCAGTTATGCCCCATCAGAAGGGATGAAGACATTCATGCCTAAGGGAGGGGGGCATGGGGGAGGAAGTTTTATACCTGAGCCAGTTGTGTAAGGGAGGATATTTGGCCAGATGAAAAGCATTATCCTATCCAGCAGGCTGTGCTTCTTGTGGCCTCTTCCTTTCTCTGGCTCAAAACCCAGCTTGTTGCTAAATTAAGGTTGGTTTGTCATGGTCAATCTCTGGTGATGAGTGCTCACCCCTCTGCACCTAGGCTGTTCTTACGCAGATCAGAGGCTTCTCCACCACACATCCAGAAATTCTTCTCCTCCCCTTTGGTTTGCTGGGCCTCAGCAAAGCACACCTGCTGCTTTTGCAAATGGCTATTTGTTCAAATCATTAACCATTATCATTTCAGTCTCTCACAAGGGTCCTCCAGACTCCAGGTTACCTGTCTCATCATGATGGGTTAATACATCAGGGACCCTTGTCCCTGAAGAGTTGTGCATATTGTTAAGGCTAATCCCTGGAAAAAATGTTTTTTTGTGATTCATGTGCTTTGCTCTCTGAGCTAACTCTGGAGAGGGGAAAGCAGGAGAAAAACACACTTCTTCTCTGGAGGGGCCTGGGGACAGAAGTGCAGGGAAAGAAGACCTGAAGGGGGACAGTGCTAAGGAGAAAGAAGGAGCTCCATAGAGAGAGGTAGCAGAAAGGAGAAACAAGACTTTGGGAGCAGAGTGGATCAGAACTTTCAAATGGAGGGAAAATGTGGGTCAGGAAACTTTTAGGAGGTGCTGCTCCATGAACTTAGTTGTTCTAATGTACTGTGACTTTTTGCCTGCAGGATCTATTTGATGAAGAGGATGAGTTGAGGAAAACCAAGAAGGCCAGGAGGAAAATGAGCCGAACCACATCAATGGCCAGAGTAACATCAGCATTTACAACATGATCAAAGGGATGGAAGGGATTCACTTTCTGCCCTCACTTAAGGCAGTGAGGGGTGTTGGGAAGGGGGGATGCTGGCATTGGTGCAGAGCAGGGGAGAGAGCCCTTGGCTCTGTGAAGGAGCAAAACTCTTGCCACTAATGAGCTAGCTTGTTTCTCAGAGCTTATCCCAGTTCACGGTCTGTACTGTGTTCAGCCTGGCTTTGTATCACTGGTGATCTGTGTGCAATAGAGTTTTGACTTGCTGCTGTCACATGGTCCTTTTCCTTTCTCGAGGAAGGGGATGGTAGGCACAAGGAAAGCTGAACTATGAGCAGCTCCTCTGCATGTCTGCAAAAGGCAGGAGCTGCTCTGCCAGACCCTTGCTCTCCAAACTTCTCATCCCTGTTGACTTCAAACCTGCAAATCCACGGCCACCTTCTGCCTGAGTTTGTTTCCCATCTTTTCTTGCTCGAAGGCAGTATTGCTCAACCTGGTGGTCTGGAGAGAAACAGGATTTAAATGAAGTGCTATTCCAGCCTGTAGCAGAGAAAGTATGAGTCCTTGCATCCTCCCTTATGCCCAGACAGTGGCTTCTTGTGGAGCACAGAGGCAGTCCAAACAACAAATTTAGAGAGAGAGCAATCATAGCTGACTGTGGACCTATGGACAGCATGTTAGAGAGAATAACCATGGCCTATATCTTAGCTTGGAATGTGGTTTGATAGTTTTGCTGAATTTTTTTTTCCCTTCTTTTGTTTTAGCAACCAAACTTCAAGCAGAAATTTGTGGCTTTGCTGAAGAGGTTCAAAGTGACAGAAGAGGTAAGAAACAGGAAAGCTGTCCCATCTGGCAATGTCTCCTGCAGATGTGTAGGTGTCAGTGTGCAGGTTCCCACTCACTGGGAGCACAAGGCTCATGATCTCAGGGATGTGCCAAAGGTGGTGTGAGACATGGCAGAGACAAGGATGTAGCTTTTCCAAAGCCTCAAGAAGGCAGCTCTGAGACTTGTGCTCAAATCAAAAAGCACCTTCCTGTTGGGGAGAGGTGCCCTGGGAAGAAGAGTGTTTTCATACACTGACTCTGCACCAGGAGCTGGCATTGCAGGGGCAGTCCTGTCCAGTTAGACTGACTGCAGGCTAACATCAGCCTGTGAATGGTTTCTCTTGGCTGACAGCCCAGCCTAAGCGTGCCAGTGGAGGTCCTTTCAGGACCTGAACACAGCCAGTGAAGGTCCTCCCAGGTGTCCTAGCTGCCAGGAAGTGTGATGGGTGTCTAAGACTCCTTTAGATGCTCATGGCACCCTCCTTTGGCCCAATGACAATGTCACTGGGTTCTTCCACAGCCTGGCTTTGCCTCCCTGAGGTGGGAACAGTGCCATGGTGTGCCTCATGACAGACAGCTTGTACATACATGCCTGCTGTGGGATGCAGGTAACTCCATGTCTCTTCACTGCTCTCTGGGTTTGGTCCTACAGGTCCTGGACTCTGACCCTGTAGACCAGACCCAGGAGGTGGAAGAAGACCTGGGCTTGCTCTATGACAGCCTGGAAGAGTGCAACAACAGTGACAGCGGCCCAGAGATGGAGGACAATGAGAGTGTGCACAGCACACCCAAGCCCACCCTGAGGTAAGGGTTGCAGGGGGCACCTGGCCGACAGCACAGCCTATGGGACCTGGAGAAATGTTCTCCAACACCATTCTGTTGCTTGGGCTAATGCAGGCATTGTCTTGTCTCCACTTCCATTGCCATCCTCCATTGGCTCCTCACTCAAAACTGCCCATTAAATCTGACTTCCTTCACATTTAGTCTAATTTTTCTGCCAGCCCAGCATCTGACACTGATCTGCTGGTAGAGTCCTATTTGATCTAAGCCCTGGCTGCTCCCAGCTCTCATGTCTTTCTGCCAACAATCCTGGTGTTCTCTGGGCTCTCCACATTGAAGCATGCCTGGCTTTGGAGCACTTTGTGACCGCTTGGACCAGTCCTTGTGAGATGTGCATGCTGTGTTCCCACTCTGTGTGGAGATGTGACTGGCAACCAGCAGCTCTGTTCCTCACCCCATTCCCCAGGCACTGGTGACTCGCTCTGCCAAGAACTGCTGACATAGCTCAGGGGTCTTTAGTGGATCATGCAGGGAAACCAGGCTTTGCTCCCATGTGATCTGTGCTCACCTGGCTTCTCTGCTCGTGGCTCTTGTGCTTTTGTGCTGTCTTTTTGTGAAAAAGCTGTCTTTTATTGCCTTTCAACTTGACTATGTCATAATGCACTGGTTCTCTTGTAGTCAAGCCAAGCTCACTTGGCACTGTTGTTTCTATAGATTTTATGTATAAGATCACAGGATCATAGAATGGCCTGGGTTGGAAGGGACCCGAAAGATCATCTAGTGCCAATCCCCCTACCATGTAAAAATATGTGCATATACATACATACATACATACATATACACACACATACATATAAATACATGCATATATATATACACACACCTATATATAATTAGGTTGGTATCCCCACTAAAGGTACGTAGCAGAAGTAGTAGGCATGGTTAGCCACAGGGAAACTGAAATTAAATGTCGATTCTGGAGCCCATGGGCCACTTGGGAAAAAAAAGGAACATGATGGAAATCGTGTTTTCCACAAATCAGCAAGTCATTGTGAAAGAGACAGCAGGCACATGGGCAAGCTGCTTAAGTGATCTGCTTGGACTCCAGAAGGAGCTTCACATGGTCTCTCATCAAAGGAGACAAAATTGCTGTGGGAGAAAAAGGAAGGTCTTTCTGTGGTCAGATAGTGGTATATAGACTATGTGAAACTGTAAGAAAAGTCTATTGAGGGTATTTAAATGTAAGACCTCCACCCTGGTTCTGCAAGTGCCTGCTTGCAAACATCTGGTCACTGGAACAGCATTCCAGAGTGAGTGCTGGTTTGGGCTGGTACCGACCATTACAGTCTTCCTGGGGTGTTTGATGGAAGGACAGCCTATTGGCCTCTGAGCTGTTCTTCATCCTGTTCACCATGTGTCCCTGGCTTGGTTTGGTCTCTGGTGCCTGAGTTTCTGGCAATGTAAAGTATATGTCCCTTGAAATCACAAGGGAATACTTCACAGAATTGAACTGGGGCTGTATTTTTTCAAAGGAGATGGTGGAAGCTGCCTGCCATGGTGTTTCATGTAGACTTTGTGGTTCCCAAGTGCTACGTAGCCTTCTCAGGGGGTAAATTACAACTCTGCCTGTAAATTTGAGATGATTCTCACGTTGGATTTCTTGTTATAGACATCTCTGTGGAGCAAGGGCACTAATGATACGCAGTCCTTAATGGTGGGAAGTGGCTGGTGCCCTGGATTGGGCCAGTGGTGCTGGGAGCTGATACTTTTGATCAGCCAGGGAGACCATGCAGCATCAGTTTGCTCCTGAACTGGGGCAAAACTGGAGCTGGAACTAAGGCTGTTAGGCAGGACCTCAAGTCAGACCTGTTGATTGAAGGTCAAAGGTGAAGGAGTCTCTTTGCCCCATCGCATTGGTGAAGAGGTGAAGGAGATCTTCATAGGTGACTGGGAAAATGGATGGGACAAGGGGGGTTAAATTAATTTAGAACAGAAGGAGGCTGTGCAGGACTGGGCTTTACCTAAATCTCAGTATGCTGAGATGTGGGCTCAGTCGTGCCTGTAGGAGGAGAGCCTTTAAACTGCAGAACAGGAAATTGCAGAAGAACTCTGTACTTCATGTGATGTCCTCAAGGGATGAAAGCTTCTGAATTTCAAGTGAGAGAGGGCACAAACAAACAGAGCTTTCATGGGGAAGGGGGGAGACAGCCCAACTTAAATGGAGTGTTGAAAGCCAGAGGAAGTATAATACTATCTAGACACATCCAATGTCTAAAAAAAGGAGGTAATGAAGATACCTCTTTGTGATGCCAGTGGCACCAAGGGTATGGGTATGGGATTACTTGTGACAGTATAGAGGAGTATGGAAGAGATTTTGATTGAGGGGTGATTTATTAGAAAACCTACATGTTCTTCTGATTTGACTCTTACTAGTGTAGTCTGTATAGATGGAGTTTCTGGCTGGGAAAAGGCAAGTGTAGGGTAATGACTGTACAGATTGGTGACAATACCTGAGATTTTGTAACAGAGAATGGAGGGAAAGAGAGAGAAGAAATATGTTAGTAAAAGGAGACGTAATTTATACCAGTGTGGCCTGGAGCAAATGTCCCACCAGGTCACTGCTGTGACTCTAAATCTGAAGCAACTGGCCACAGAGCCAGTGAGGGGAAAATCAAGCCTTGACTTTTCCCAACCAGTGTATAAACATTTCTGCTGAAGAGCTTCTGTTTGGGAACCATCATTTATTTATGGAGGTGGAATGCCCTTTCAGGAGCAGTAAAACCTGAGAAACACTGTTGTGTCTGGCAGTACCGTGTGCTGTATACAAATAAGGAAGCATGCTAAAAGGAAAAGAAAAGGAGCAGTCAGGATGTTTAGAAGTCTGGAGGTATCCTGCAGGAAGCATTCTCCTGACGAGAAAAGTAGAAAACAATGGAAAGAAACTCTGATAGAGTACTAACAGAAGAACTTCTCTATATCTTATGCTTTAGTGGCCATCCCTGGAAACCTGCAACCTCATAGCCCCATCTGCACACTAGGCACATCAGGAGGAACATTTCCTGGGAGTTAATGAGCACATACACAAAGCTTAGAGAGAATCTAGCTCTGATTTCCTGCAGCAAAGTCTCACATTGCAGGTGGATTCTGGTTGCTGTAAAGGTCCTGGGAAAACTGGCAAGTGAGATCCAGTGATAGACCCCCACTTGTTTCCTAAAGACTGGTTTTTGAGCAGCACACAGGCTGTGAAAGGGGCCCTTGACAAATAATGTGTAGGAAAAAGGGTAAAGGTGAAAGCCCACACTGTAGTGGCAGAGACTGTCCTGGCTACCCCAATAGAGTTCCTGTGTGACCTGTGGTGACTTGAAAACAGGACCTCGGAGCTGCACTATGCAACTATACCAAAACATCAGCTCAGAGACCGAAAACTCGGCAAGTTTAAGTACTGTGCTGCCTGAGGTGTTGTTCTGTGTGCAATACTGAAGATTTTCAGAGCCTTGGGAAAGGGGAAGGCAGAAAGGGAAGGTGACTGCTGCAGCTGGAAGTGTATAGCAGCAGCAGAAAAAGGCAAGGAGCAATCCCTGGAAAAAGGGAAGCAGAGGGGAAGGCAGCAGAAGTCTGTGGGAACTATGATGGTGCAGAGGAGGAGAGAGGTTTAGCAGCACACTGGAGTTGTGGTGTTGACAGAGACCGTATACCAGTGAGATGGGGCAAAGTGGCAGCTTCTCACTGCAGTGCAGGGGTAGGGGATCACCTGAGGCAGAAAGCATCAGGAGACCCTTCCTCCAGCTCCCCAAGGTCACAGAGGGTGCTGCTGACAGCTCTGCTACTCAGCTGTGCATCACCCAGACACTTGTCTGGCCACTGAGGACCTCTCCACAGAGCTCTGTGCTTCGGACAGGCCAATGGGGGTGTGCTGGGATCATGGTGACTTTGTTCCTCTCTTATTCCTGCCTTTTTCTCTCCCGTCTGTCTGTCTGTCCGTCCGTTCGTCTGTCTGTTTCTCTGCAGGCGTTTCTTTGAGGGAGTCTCTCATTCTGGTTCCCAGACTGAGATCGGCAGTTTGCACAGCCAGAAAGGGCAGGATCAAGAGTCGGGCAGCCCTGTGAGTTACACCACCACCACCACCACCACCTTTTGCCCCTTTCCCTTCCCAGCTAGCCCAGCACCCCCACAGTGCCTGCACTCTGAGACCACAGCTCCTGGCAGCACCTGCCTGGGGCTGCTCCTTTCCTTCTTTCCTCCTCTTTTTCCCAGCACAGGCAGACAGGTAGCGATGGGGGGCATCCTCTGGGGACGGTCCCAGAGATGCCCGACTCCTCTGTGGGAGCTTGTGTTCTGTGAGGCCAGCCACTGGCAGCTGCCCTGCACAGAGTGCTCCATCCTGCTCTGACCCCACTCCCTGTCCCCCAGGGCGAGGCAGACAATCGGAAGCCAGGAGCACAGCGAACACAGGAAGAGCCAGGAACGGAGGTCCCTGCAGCGGTGAGTCCCTGCAGCGGTGAGAGGCTGTGGCATGTGGAGCTCTCTCAAACCCCAGCTTGCTTTCTGGAGTACCATGGGTGCCCACCAGACTCGAAGTAGGTCTGAGAAGACAAGTAGATTGTGCTGGAGAACAGCAAGAGTTGAAGGAGTGTTAGTTTCTGCAGGATGTGCAGCCCAGCCCTCCCAAGACCCTGCAGCCTTGGCTCTCCAGGAGGGCCACCAGGCTTCTCCTGGTGATGGACACCCCATGGGTGCAGGGCTGAGAGCAGTGTGGAGCAAGGAAAGCAGTGTGTGTGAAATGACTCTGTGTGGCCCTCAGGAGCTGGCAGCAGAGGAGCCGTGTTCCCGGCTGGCCCCCACAGAAGCTGCCATGAGGGAGAGCAGCATGGACAGACTGGCCCAGCTGGGTGCTGGGACCAAAGCTGAGCTCCCCAGTGCCGTATCCCCCAGGTAAGGCAGGTCTGTGCCCTCTCCTAGGGCTGAGCGAGCTCACACTGAGTAGGGGTTGGTGGAGATGAGATTTCCTCAAGTTTTGCCTCTCCTGCTTCACAGCAAGGCAGAGAGCAAGCAGTTGTGGCGTCCCCGCAGCACCTCCGTGAAGGACCGGCAGAGCTCAAAGGGACAGGGTGGCCGTGCCAGCAGCCTGGACAGTGAGAGCTCTCCAGACTCATGGCATAGCACCCAGGTGAGGCCCTTGGGACCCATCCCACTTGGAGGCTTCTCACTCAAGAGCTCTGCCAGGTCATCAGCCTTGGGCAGTGTCCAGGGTGGCTGACTGGAGTTAACCTTTGTGGTGATGCTGTCACAGGTGCCTCGAAAGTCTGTTTACGATCAGCTGAACCAGATCCTGGTCTCAGATGAGCAGCTCCCCGAGAGCATTGTGCTGGTGAATGTTGCTGAGTGGCAGGGGCAGGTGAGTAGATGTGATGGGAGCTGGATGCATGTGGGCAGCTGTAAGCAGGGTGGATTCTCCCAGTCATAGCAGGGTGTCCTAGGGAAACTGGCACCAGCTGTGCCCTCCTCTTCCCCAGTGTAGCACTTCCTTCAAGGAGACAATGCATTTACAGGGTGCTGAGCCACATACACAAGAGTCAGGTGTGTCTCCTCCATCACACAGCATCACTGGATCCTCAAAACTTGATGTCCTGATCAGTCCCAGAAAGGCTGGCTAGCAGACTGTGTCTTAGGCCCTCACTGCTTGGTCCTGGCTTCCAGGAACCCCATGGGTCAGAGGTTTGTTGGATTCCCTGGAAATGGGCTCCCTTCCTCTCTGGGCACCAGGCACTGGGAAGCAGCAGAGGTATTTCTCACTGAGAGATGGAAGAGTATCACCTGCCACTCCCAGGGAGCACTAACTACATCATCAGAGCAGGGTGGGGTGTGAGGACATGCCCAGCCCCTGATAAGCATGTGGCTCTCCCATACCTGGGAGCTCTAAAGCTAAAGGTGAGCAAGGAAATGTACATGTGTGCAAACATGCAGTTAGATAAAACACCTGTGAGACCCCTTCAGGATCCTGCAGCTACATCTGGCATCCAGAAATGGTGCTGGAAAATTTTGAGGCAGAAGAAAGGGCTTAGTGAGAGGCCCATGCATTGATTCAGGCCATGCGTTCTTGGCTTGTTCCACTTGTCCTGGATTGGGAAAAAATAGAGCCAATTCCCACGCCCAGAACCAGCCCTCTTGTCTATCTTGACTATTTTACCTATTTTACCACTGTTGACCTGCATGCAGACACCTGAAGAGATAGGATTTTGGAGTGCCACAGTGGGAGAGAGCAAGAGGAGGGAATGAGCAGAGGCAGAGTGAGCCTAGAGCTGGGCTGTGCTGTGGGATGCAGAATTTAAATCAGAGGGTCCCTGGACTAAGCTGCTTATTTCAGGGAACACAGCTTGGTTCTTGGGACAGTTCTGCCCTTGCCATGGTGAGGGTGGTGACTGCTGTGCTCAAAGGTGAGTGCTGGGGGCTGTCTGGCCCCTAGAGCAGAGCTGGGAGGAGTGGGGATGCTCAGGGTGCAGCTGTGAGTGACCTGGTGGTTTCAGCCTCCCTACATGGCACGGGTGGGGACAGGTGTCACAGCTCTAACCTGGGGGGCATGGGACCCAGGGCAGACATCGGCTGGTGCTGGCCAGCACAGCCATGCCTCCAGGGTGCCTATCTCTGCATTGGCAGTACGTCAGCGAGCAGCTCCAGGCGCACAAGCAGTTGGTTGTATCCACCTGCTCCGTGGCAGACATCCAGGCAGCCTTCAACACCACTGTCTCCCGCATCCAGCGATAGTGAGTACAGCTTGGGCTCAGGCCTAGTGGCACTGTATGGATTCAGAGGAGGGCTGGGTATGGCCCTGGCTCCCCAGGGTTCATTAGGACTCTTTGGGGTTGTGGACACTACCATAGAAACAGGTGTACACCCTGGGGAGAGTGGGGGGCTCCCAGTACTGCTTTTGCCCATAGCAGTGGACGCCAAGCTGGATATTCTCAGCAAGGGGTTTTTGTCAGCTGGCTTGGCAGATGTTGTCCCCTGGCTCACCTGCTGATCCACTGCACATCCCACCCTCACTGTTTCCTTTTCCTCTCCCTTTGGCAGCTGTAACTGTAACTCCCATATGCCTCCCCCGGTGAAGGTGGTGGTGGCAGGGGACCAGAGCTACCTGAGTGTTGTCCTCCGTTTCTTTGTGGAGCAGCTGGCCAGCAAGACACCCGACTGGCTCAACTACCTTCGCTTCCTGCTTGTACCACTGGGTGAGAGCCATCAGGAGCCCAGCCCCAGGGCTGTCCTCTCATCTCCCCAGACTCCCCTGCCTGAAGTCAACACTGCCCTTCTCTCCTGCAGGCTCTCACCCTCTGGCCAAGTACCTAGCCTCAGTGGATAACAAATACAGCACTCTCTTCCTGGACTCAGCATGGCGGGAACTGTTCAGCAGGGCTGAGCCACCCACCGCAGGTGAGGAGCGAGGCAGGCTGACATCAGCAGTGCCCTGAGGGGGAGCCCAGCTGCCATCGAGGTCTCCATGGCTCTTTGTGCCTGCAGACACTGTGGACATAGCAGGCCGTGTTGCCCAGTTCATCGCTGGAGCCAGCCTCTCTCACCAGCTCCCCATCTCCGAGGCCATGCTGACCTACAAGCAGAAGAGGTGAGTGTGGCCCCAGGGTGCCTGTCCTCCCTCATGCGGCCCCAGTCTGGGATGTGCCCAGGACAGGAGTGAGGGACACGGGACAAGTGAGTGCGTTCCACTGACAAGCAGCATGGTGCTGAGGGGAGCTGGGGTCCCACAGTGAGAGGCCCTCAGCACCATTCCCTGCCACCTCCCAGTGTGCTTGGCCCCTCCAGTAGCTGTGGCTGTGACAGCCCCAACGGTGGGGACCAGCTGCCAGGGCTGGGATGGGCTGGGTGGGGCTGCAAGCTGGTACTGTGCTGTCCTGGGGTTGATGCTCATGTTCCAGCTGCACTCTCACCTCTCCCTTCTCTTGGTTTCTGGCACCCAAGGAAGAGAAGTCTCTATTTTGATTTTTATATCAGGTATTGGCTTGTGCTTGCTGTGCCTCTGCCTGGCCCCTCCCTGCCTTTCCCCATGTTCGTCCATCCCTCTTGCTGTGCAGAGGAGCCATGACCCCACAGAGGGGCAGGGCTGCCCTCCCGCATGCAAGCCCTTTCCCAGCACTGAAGGGGACAACTCCTTGCCTCCTTGTGTAGTGTGCCCTGCGCTGCCATGTTGGGGACAGGGGGTCTCATGGGAGGGAGGGCAGAGGAGATGGTCTAGAGGGTGTGAGCCAGCATTGACCCCTGTGAGTGCAGGGCTGCCTGGGCACAAGGCTAGTGGTCACATGGCAATCGGTGCTCAGCACACCCAGACCCTGACCAGCCTCTTTTCCTTCTGCAGCCCCGACGAGGACTCCTGCCAGAAGTTTGTCCCCTTTGTGGGGGTGAGTGAGTTGAGGGGCCAGCAGGGGCTGAGGGGAGAGGTGCAGTGCCCAGTCCTGCTAATGCTGGGTATCCTCTGGTTTGTCCTTGCAGGTGGTAAAGGTGGGCCTGGTGGAGCAGTCTTTCAGTGCCTCCGGTGAGTCCCTGGGAATGCCCAGCTCTCTTCTCCACAGGTGGGAGGCTCTTGTTATTGTCCCCCAAACCCTCAAACCCACACTTTTCCTCCCCAGTGGACTCGGATGATGCCACAGTCTGCACCCCCTCCCTGCTGAGCTCAGCACCAGCCTCCAGTGCAGCTGTTCCCTATGGCAAGGAGACTGTGAGCACCCCACCACCCTCTCCATCCGTCAGCAGTGGCCTCTCGGGTGCTGGGTAAGAAAACAAGGCCCCCCTCAGCCTGAAGCAGTGGGGGGAGAGGAGCAAGGGCACCACCTGTGTGCTGCATGTGCTGCCCATGTTGCCCAGGTCTCTGAGCCCTGGTGTGGAGGTGATGGGCCTGCAGGTGGACTACTGGACAACACAAGGGCTGGACAGGAAAAAGGAGGGTGAGAAGCGGGAGACGGGTATCAAGAACACACTCAAGAGCAACTTCCGCTCACTCCAGGTCAGCCGCATCCCCAGCACGGGGGAGCTGGTGCCCCCCAGCACCATGGCCATGACCGTGGTCACCAAGGAGAAAAACAAGAAAGGTAAGCAAGCCCACTGTGGGGTGCTCTCTGCCTGTGGGGCCACAGTCCTTTGTGAAAAAAGTGCAGGGGATCCTGCAGGAAGGCAGGGCTGAGATGCTGCCCAGCAGGGATCAGTCAATGCACTGGGGCAGGGGCTCCTGTTTTAGGGCCAGGTGGGGACATCCTAACATTGGTCCTGTCTGGCCTTGGCCCCCAGTGATGTTCCTGAGCAAGAAACCAAAAGAAAAAGACTTGGAACCCAAAAGCCAAGTCATTGAAGGGATCACACGCCTCATCTGCACAGCCAAGCACCAGAACACGATGTTGCGAGGTGAGGGCAGGTACCAGCCCCTTGGGGCTGTAGTGGGGCAGACCAGGCAGCACAGGCTGGCTGTGGTAGGGCTGTGCCTCACTGCACCCTCTCCTCTCAGTCTCCATAGATGGGGTGGAGTGGAACGATGTGAAGTTTTTCCAGCTGGCAGCACAGTGGCCAACACACGTCAAGTATCTCCCTGTGGGCATCTTCGGCTACTCAAAGAGTGTGTGAGACATTGGGGCATCCCTGGAATGGAGCTGCAGTGGGTTGCAGGAGGAGACAGGGAGATGGATATGCTCTCTTGTCCCCGTCTTCTGCAGACCAGTCCCTGCCTGCTCAGTGGGGGGGGATACCACACCTGCATCCTGTGGGCCAAGACCCGTGAAGGTGAGGCCAGTGAGACCGGGTCCATGCACCCTCCAACACCAGCCAGGACACCATGCCATCTGCCTCCCGTGTCCCCCAACAGCAGCCTGGGACAAGGGTTGGCACTAGCCAGCAGAGCCCCAGGAAGGGCTCTGGGCCCCACTCTCCGCAGATGCACCTGCCAGGCCAGCCCTGTAGCCAGCCAGGGTCCCAGCTGGGCTGGGCCCAGGCAGGTTCCCCAGTGCTGCAGCCAGCCAGATTGCTCTGTGCAGGGGGCAGGTGCTGAGCAGGGCCCACCACCCCTCTACCACCCTTGCCAGCCCCACTGCCAGCCTTGCACTACTGTGCTGGCCCTGCCCTCCACAGCACAGCCTCAGCAGTTTTTTCAGTCCCCCTGCAGCCCTGCTGTTGAGGCTGTCCTCTTCATCTCCCCATCCCTTCCCAACCAGCCCTACCCCATGGTGCTGCCAGCTGGATGTGCGGGATGAGGGCACCTGAGTTTTTTTTTTTACAAGATTCTATTTTTTTTAAATTTATTGTATGGTTACTTTTTGGGATTAATTTTAATAAATTAATGCTGTTACCATTATGGCAGGGTGTGTGTGTGTGTGTGTGTGTGTGCCCCCATGTCTGAGGGCATGACTCAGCACAGCTGGGAGAGAAAAAATTTGGGCAGGGTGCAGCCTGGCCAAACTCCCAGCCATGGACCAGCTGAGCTCCCCGACAGACTGCAAGGTGGGACCGGGTGGAGCTTGGCTCATTTATTTATATAAAACTCACACGTGTTTAGGAAGAGACAGACTGGATTCAGCCCTAGTCCTCCCAGCCAAGTCCTCATCTACCTGAATGTGGAAAAAGTCTGTCTCCTTTCAGCAGAGCCAAGGTTTACTGCTGTCTTGATCTCTACAGTCTGGAAGGCAACCTGTGGCTGGACCTGAGAAGTGGGGAGCGTTGTGGCTTCAGCAGAGATGTATTCCAAGACATGAGGCCTCCCCTCCTGGCGCCGGAGATAGCCCTGGTTCAGCAGGTGCAGGATGCAGGACAGCACGTCCACGCTGTGGCAGCAGAAGCTCAGGAACTGCACCCCTGGCCCCAGCTCGCCCTTTTGACAGGCATCGATCACCTGCAGCAGCAAGGGAGCCCCACTGCAGTGGCTGCAGCCCCGGTGCAGCCCCTGTGCCCCCTCTGTGCCCCCCCCTTACCCTGAACACCAGATTGTCGATGTGCAGCTGCTTCTCCAGCTTGAGGATGCGGGTGATGAGGCAGCACAGGACATTCCTCTTCCTTTCCAGGGCGCTCACCTCGGCCCTCTCTGTCCGCAGGTACCTCTGCTGGGGCAGCAGCCTCAGCTGGCGGCCGGAGCTCTGGGCCAGGGCTGCCTGGTTCAGCCGCAGCGCACCTGGAGCCAGCACCCAACCTGGGCTCAGCCAAGCCTCGAGCTGGGCCTGAAGGAGCCCCAGGACACAACGTGTGGCTGAGGGACCCAAGCTGGGCCCCCTATGGCTGCCTGCACCCCTGGCCATCCCAGCCCCGTCTCCCGCATGTGGCCCCAAGCCACAGCCACGCACACGGCCCCTGGCCCTGGCCCACGCACAAACCCGAGACCCAACCGCCCACGCCGCCCCACACCCCATGCATGGCCCCGAGCCCCACCCCACACCTCACCCCCAGCCCTACACTGGCCTCAGGCCCCACCCTGACACACACCTGTGCCCCGAGCACCAACACACGGACCCAGCCCCTCACCAGCCCTACCAGCTCATGCACCCCTAAGCCCAGCACCCCCTCGGGGTTCAGGCCAGCCCCTCCCCTGGGTCCCCAGCCCCACACTCACCCCCCAGAGTGCAGCTCCCCACCAGGACACCCTGGCCGTGGGTCAGTGGTGTCAGTGCGTGGTGCACCAGGTCAGCAGGAAGCCCTGTAGCCTGCAGCAGGGCCTCCACAGCCACCTCCTGCAGCACGGGGTGGGAGGGCAATGGCCAAGATTCAGTGGCCACAGGCCCCGCCTAAGAACGGGGTCCCGTGCCCCAGACACCGCTGGAGACCCCACCAGAAGGGAAGGGAGGACACGGCCCTGCACGTTCCAGCCTCCACTGCCTCCCTGGCCCCACCGTGGCTCCAGCCCCTACCTGGGCGCTGTTGAAGCACAGCAGGATGTACATCTGTAGTGTGGACACGTGCAGAACGCAGTCTCCAAACTGCAGCTCGGCGTGGCCCAGCCACGTCCACTGCAGCCGACGGGGCTTTGTGCACTCCCAGCCCAGCTGGCTCTGGCCTGCCAGGGACAGTGTCAGTGCCAGGGACGGGAACCAGCCCTGCCAGGCACTCCCAGCCCACCACCACTTGTGGCTGAGCTGCCCTGGAGGCTCTGGGCACACCTCGGGCCACAGCACTCACTCTGCCGGCAGAAGTCAGCAAACTCATCCAGTGGGGAGCTCAGCTCCGCCGGGAAAAACCTCGCAGGGTTATCCATGTAACAGAGCGGGGAAACAGGCCAGCAGCGCGGGGACAGGGCCAGCACCTTCACCTCTGGCACATCTGCCACTGAGGCTCTTCCCAGCACCTGGGCACAGGGCACGAGGGCAGCTCAAGTCAGGCTCCAGGATCCCCATGAGGATCCGGCCTCCCCACAGGAACATCCCTCTCACCTCGTCCAGGCCCGTGTCCAGCTCCAGCAGCCGCTTATCCTGCTCCTGCAGCTGGAAGAGGCAGAACTGCCGCTGGAGCTCCTCCGACTGGGCCAAGTTGCTCAGCATATCTTGGGGAAAGCGGCTGGGGAAGCACAGCCCTATCTGCTCCACGATGCCTCCTTCCAGCCAAGACGGCCCTTGCGTCAGGAGCCGGTCCCCCAGGTAGAGCCTGCCATGGCCACCAGCTTCAGTCAGGGCTGGACCCGAGCCTGGCCTCATCCCACAGCACACGGGCCCGGCAGCACACACCTCTCCCCTCCCTGTCCCCAGCAGGAAATGTGATTCCACAGCCTGGCAGCACCCACGGACACTCCACAGCTCAGGAAAAGCAAAGCAGGAGCGCCACTGCCACACCAGGCCAGGCTCCCCCAGCACACCAGGCCACGCTGCACCAGGCCCTGGGTTCTGGGGAGACACAGCAGCCTCACCTGTAGAAGTGTTCAAAGCTGTGGGCAAGCTCCAGGCCACTGAAGACGACAAAGGGCTCCAAGAACTGCTGCAGCCGCTCCAGAGGCCCCGTGCTGCCCGCAGCCCTGCGGAGCTCCTGGATCTGCACGTCAAGGTAGCGGGCAAACTGCTCACTCACCTGCAAGGGACAGGGCTGGCTGCACACACAGGGCTCACCAGGTGCCCACAGGGCCGGGGAATGTCCCTGTGGGGAGCAGCCGGGAAACTCTGGCACTCCCAGGCAAGGGCCGAGGGTGCCCAAGGACCAGCCCAAGGCAGGAGTGCACCAGGGCCGGGCCCACGCTGGGATGAGCACCACAAATCTGAGCTGAGCGCCCTCCAGGCTGCCAGGGCAGGCCTCTGTGGCTCGGGGGGAGCAGGACATCACCCACCCAGAGCTTGCCCCAGTGCCGTGGGCCGGGGCAGCTCCCCAGCCCGTGCCCAGGGCCACGGCACCGGGGCCGCGCTCCCTCGACTCACGTGCAGGGCAGTCAGGAAGGAGAGCTGCAGCAAAGCCCCTGCAAAGCCCTGGCCCAGGGCCAGCACAAAGGCAGCCTGCTGCCCAAAGAGCTCCTCTGTGGCCCCACGCAGGCGCTGGTACAGCCGGCAGTACCGCTCCGCAAGGTCGGGCCCCTCCCCCGCCGCCTCCAGGAACTGCTGCACCTGCGGGAGCAGCGCGAGGGCTGAGCCCGCAGCAGGACTGGCCCCTCGGAACATCCCCAGCCCTGCCCTGCCACCACCAGCTGCCTGGGTCCCTGGGGCTTGGGGCTGCCAAGGTGGGAGCACAGCTCCCAGGGCTGGGCAGGGGCTGTGGGGGCACTCTGGGGACCCAGCAGCAGCCCAGCAAGAAATAACAGCCCGACACTGGGCCTGGCTCCTGGCCTGCAGCATCGGCCTGGGCACAGGGCCTGGCTGAAGCCTGAGCCGTGCCAAGGTGGCAAGCACAGCACGGCTGTCCCACATCGCTCCAGGCTCTGTGGAGGCCAGGTACAGCCCTGTGCTCTCCCCATGCTCCCAGGCCACTGCCAGACCCCACTCCCTGCTCCAACCAGCCAGGGAAGGTCCCACACCCCTCCCAGTCGGCCCTCCAAGCTCTACCTGCTGCTGCACCACGCCACGCCAGCACTGTGAGATTCCCCACAGGCCTCTCGACTTCTCCACCACAGCCTTTGCAGTCCTGGCCAGCACCTCCTTGTTCTTCCCCTCCTTCCCACCTGCCAAGGGTCAGCCTCAGGCTCAGCGTGGCTCCATGGCCAGGCCCCGCACACTGACCTGCCACGGCAGGGCTGAGGGGCCGCTGGGGAGGCACGGCCGCTGCTGGGGCATGACCACAAGCCTTCCCCGGCTCAGGAATCTCTGTGCCATATGACACTCCCCAGAGGAGCCCCACGGCCACAGCCTGGTGCTCTGGAGCAGTGCCCACCCAGCCCCACAGCAGGGCAGCCCCTGGCTCACCAGCTGCTCTGGTCTCCTCTGCCTCGGGGCCTCCGGGGTCCACGTGCACCAGGAGCTGGGTCAGGCGCCGCACGCAGGATCCAAAGGTAGCTCTGTGTCCCGTGGCACGGCGGGGCAGCTCCACGCTCTCCAGGTACTCGCTCAGCAGCCAGGCCAGGGGACTGACACCATCAGGGTCTGCGAGGCCAACCAGTCTCAGAGCCAGGTGCCACTACCTGGGACATGGCACACGTGGGTCCCGGAGGTCACAGGGTACCTGGGCTGGTGATGCTCTGCACCAAGGGGTTCACCAGGGCCTCCCAGAACGTCCTGCCCAGTGCCCGGGCTGCCTCGTCGTCGGGAAGGAAGCGGTTGGCAAAGCCCTGCTCGTGCTGCAGCGCCCGGTTCAGTCTGCAACAGCGACCGGGCAGCACTCGGTGCCAAGGGCTGGAGAACTCCCATGGGAAAGCAGAGCGCAGTGGCGGCTCCCTGCTCTGCCCCTTGCCAAGGCACAATGGCTCACTGGCCCCACTAGCCCCCAGGAAGGACCCCTTGCTGTCTTTGGGACCTGCCCCCAATGGCCCTTGGGGCCCCCACAGCCCCTGCCAGATGGGGGCTGTGCAGTGCCTGTGGCCACGAGATCCTGCTCTGCCTGGCCAACCTCTGTCAGGATGTGCCAGCCCCTGTGGGGACCCGGCATCCTGCTCTGGGGGGTTAGCCCAGATTAAACCCAGGGGATCCCAAGGTGGCCCTGGCCAGGAAGGACCACTGGTGGCCAGGAAGGAGCCAGGGCCCCTCCCACCCAGATGGCACATCCAGCTGCTCCTTTCCCAGCCCTGCAGTCCCCTCATGGGTCCCCCCATGGGGACCCATGCAGTCCCCATGGCTGCCAGCCATGTCCTGGGACACCAGGGACGTGATGGCACAGCCAGGACACAGCTCACCTGCCAAAGAGCTGCAGCAGCTGCCCCCGGTCTCGGCAGATCTCCTGGCTCCAGGCATGAGCCCGAGCAGTGCAGGAGAGGAACGTCCGCCGGCACAGCTGCTCCTTGAAGATGGGCCAGAAAGTGGGCTTGGGACCCAGCACCTCGATGCCACGCACACGGGTGTCGATGCCACCCTACGGGAGAGAAGGACCCTCAGTTCCTCGGGCACAGCCCCGATGCCCCACGCTGCCCGCTCCCAGGCCCAGCCCCTGCTCCCCTACCTGCTGGCACCGCTTCACCCGGATCTGGATGATGGGCCAGAAGCGACTCATGTTCTCCAGCAGGATCACTCTGCTGTCCGAGGGCAGGATGGTCACCTGCAGGGAGGCACAGAGCCCTCAGCGTGACAGGCAGCCGGCAGAGGCTCTGGCAGCGCAGCTCCTGCCATTGCCACCTCCCCGAGGGCACCTCCCCGGGCCTCACACCAGGGCCAGAGCTCCCCGGGGCACAGCAAGGGCCAGCCCGCCACTTCCACGGGGACTCACCGCATTGAGCTCCGTCCTGATGGTGGCAGGGCTGTCCCCGCCCAGCACCACCACCCGGGATGGCATGTAGCTCGAGTCCTCGCTGGCCACCAGCATGCTCAGCTCCCTGCAGCACAGCAAACACGGGGCTGCCCAGCCATCCCCACTCCCTGCCCTGGCCCCTGATAGCACCACGCCCTGCCGGCCACCTCCCTCTGCCCCCAGGACCGGGCCACGGCGGCACGGCTGGCACAGATCCCCAAAGCCCCCTCCTCCACACACAGCCCTCCCGGCCCAGCCCCACCTGATCACCACCCCACACTGCATGTGCACAGTGATGAAGTGGGAGCCGGTGCTGCCGTTGGACTCCCAGTAGGTCTTGGGGTTCCTGTCCGTGAGCTTGCTGGCCTGGTGTGAGTTGGAAGAGACCTGCACCTTCTCCCAGCACTTGTCCTCTTTCACCTCCATGCTGGAGCCTGCAGGCAGAGCACATGGAGCTTCCAGCCACCAAGCCTGGGCTCAGCTCCCCCTGCCTGCACTCACCTCGGCACAGGTTGTGCAGGAAGACATCAAAGAAGGGGATGCTGATGGGCTGGTGGCTCCGGCGGTGCTCCTCAATCTGTCCCAGCACCAGCTGTGGGATGGGGCAAGGCTCTTACCAGGGGCCCCAGTCCCTCCTCCCCTCGCCCCACGCAGGGCTGTGGCAGGCAGAGGGCACAAGGCCGTCCCTCAGTGTCAAGGACAGCCTGATGCCCCCAGACCCAAATCCCCAGCGCAGCTGTGCCTCCCCAGGCCCACCTGGATGCAGCCAGCCAAGATGCTGCTCGTCAGCTTCTTGTAGAGCCTGGCATACTTCTCACACTCCGTCACCAGGTCGAGCAGGGCCGGCGCCAGCGATGGGACTGTGCTGTGCTTCTCCAGGGCTTTGGACAGAACCTCGTGGGTGCCCACGTGGCACATCACCACCACACAGTCCTTGCTGGCACTGCCCAGCCGGTGCAGGAAGCCAACAACCTCCTGCAGCACCTACTGAGACGCAGCCCTGAGCAGATGGGGCACCGCTGGCACCTCCCCGGGCCCCCCCAGCAGCTGGAGCTGCAGCTCCATTCCCCTCATCCCAACCCCACCAGCACCTACCAGAGCCTGGCCAGGCACAGCCAGACCGGGCACGTGGCCACGGCCAGGACAGCCGCTCCCCGCCTCTCCCAGCACCTCGGACACAAGGCCAGGCTGCCACCAGCGGGGCCCTGCTTGCCCAGCGCTGGGCCCGGCTGAGGCACAGCCAGCACAGCCACCCCTGCCTGCCGCGAGTCCCGGGGCCCCCTCACCTCCCAGCTGCTGCTGTGGCTGCTCAGGAAGGACACACAGGGCTCCACACACTCATGCCAGGGCAGCACATCCTCCTGATAACTGTCCAGGAACTTGTTCAGGATCCTGAGTGACAGAGGGAGCCTGCTCAGGCCATGCCACACGGACAGCAGTGCTACAGGCAGCCCCGCTTCCCTGCCCCGCCTCAAAGACACCTCTCAGGGACTGGGAACCAAGGCTCTCTTGGCACTTTGCACACCCCACCAGCAGCCAGGCATGTCCTCTGCTGCCTGCCCCTGTATGTCCCAACCAGCAGCCAGGCACAGCTGCTGTGTCCCCTCATGGCTCTGCGCCCCAGCACACTCCGATCAGCACCTGCCTACGTGCTGGGCTGAGCCTGCTCCCTGTGAAGAACATCCCCACCAGGACCTACAAACATGCATTGGGTCTCCCCAGCATGACCACCAGCACTCACACACCTGCTGAGGGGGTCCCAGACTCCCCCCACTCCCCCTGCACCCACCTGAGGATGCTCAGGCTCACGGCCTTCTCTGTCCCCAGCAGCTCCAAGCTGCGCAGCAACAGCTGGAAGCAGCTGTGGTCCTGCAGCAGCTGGGCCCCCTGGCCAGAGGGAACAGGCCCTTCGCTGCAGAGCTGCCGCTCCAGGGCCACCACCACCTCCTTGGACAAGACGCCGTCGTCCAGGCCACCCAGCAGCCTCTGCACGCCCTTCGGGTCCAACAGGACCTCTCTGCCTGCCGTGACAAGGACACGTGAGCCCGGCCCGGGCACTCACGCGAGCGGCAGCAGCCCCTCAGGCTGCTCTGGCCTGTCAGGACAGCCCTGCCCGTGGCACCCGCGGGGCCGTGGCACAGGCAGGGTGGGCAGCGCGGTACCTGCTGCCTCCGGGCCCAGGTGCTCTGCCAGGCGATTGATGGCGCTGAGGGCCAGCACTGCCTGGGGACAGCCGCTGCTCTGCCCGTCCCTCCAGCAGCTCTGCAGCACCGCCAGCAGATCGCAGCTCGCCAGCTGCTCCGCCAGGCCCCGGTGCCCATCCATCAGCATGTTCACCACCAGCAGGCCGTTCTGCAGCCCTGAGGAGCCCCTGCAGGGACACAGCCGTGCCACTCTCCTCCCCCGGGCACAGAGCCCCCCTGCACTCACAAGCCCGCCCTGCCCGTCCTTCCCCCTGCAGATTCCCCCCAACCTCAGCCGCTCCCCACGCCCTGCCCCTACCCTGGCACCCTCTGCATGGTGCTCAGGGCAGCAGGGATGCTACTCAGCAGGCTGGCAGAGCCCTCGCTGGAGGCAGAGCCGATGCTGGCAAAGATCTCCCGCATCATCTGTGCATCGCCGTGGTTCCAGGGCAAGCACTTCCCACCGGCAGCACCGTCCGCAGCTCCCACCAGCACCTTCAGGGCCTGCGAGGACAAGAGCGGCGCGCAGGGCAGCGGCCCCTCCAGCACCCCCGGGCCGGCCCGCGCAGCCCTGCCCGGCCACGGCGCCCCCGGGCACTCACCGCCAGCCCGGCCTGCTGCACCAGGCCGGAGCAGCCGTGCTGCTGCATGCACGCCAGCACGGCCCGCACGCCGCCCTCCGTGGCAAAGGGCACTCGCCACTCGTGGCGGGCCAGCAGCACGGCCAGCAGCCGCAGCGTCACCGCCACCAGCGCCTTCTCTGCCGCCTCCGTGCTCAGCAGCTGCACGGCCACCTGCACCAGCTTCTCCCTGCATGGGACAGGACACTCAGGCCGAGCCTCCTGCCACTGCCGCTGGCACGCCAGCACCTCGGGCCCTGCCAGCCACCTCCTTCCTGCCCACGCTGCACCTGGGACAGCCCCGCCAATCAGCCTGCCTGCCACAAAGGGACACAAAATCCACCTCTCCTCTTGCACGTACCGCCCTTCGCACTCCCACTGCCACCTCCCGCTCTT